TTCTGCAGTGCAATGCCATGCTTGCCACTGACCTTGTGAGCGGCCTTTAGTGTCCCACTGTGACAGCAGACATTGCTAACAGGGCTCTCATCCTCTCCCCTACTGCCCTGGGCCCCCACCCCTCTCTCTTCCCTAGGACCCTCAATCCTGCCCTACACTGTGCCCAAGGGCTAGTGACTAGGTCCCCGAACTACAGACAAAGCCAGAACTAAAGCAGAAGAGAAGGGGGAACCAGGCTGGAGAGTCGGTTCAGCAGTTAAGGGCACTGGCTGCTCTTCCAGAGGACCCAGCTCTGATTCCCAGCACCCACATGGCAGCTCATGGCTGCCTGCAACTCCACTTCCAGGGGATCTGGCGCCCTCTTCTGGCCTCTGCAGACACCTGCATGCATGTGATGCCTCAGACTCATAAAGACATGCACAGGGGAGGAAGGGAGGGAGGGAAGGAGGGAGGGAAGGAGGGAGGGAGGGAAGGAGGAGAGAAGGCCTGACCCACCTGCTTTCCTTGGTTACCAGAGTCAACTTCGGCACAACTGGTAAAACCAAAGCTGCCAGCAGAGTTAATGTATTTTCCTCCACACACCTCAAACAAGGATTTAAATGCAGCAAATGAGGGTTGCTCCCTTAGGGTCAGAGTGTCTGTGACCTTGAGTTTGACCATGTTAGTGTTCCTCATTCACCCCCGAATCTAAGGAACAGTGCAACCTCATCAAAACACACCTTACAGTTTCATTTATAAAAGGCATTTTTTAAAATAGTTGCTAACATAGGCTGGCCTCAAATCCATTACAAAGCCAAGGATGACCTTGAACTTCTGAACATCTGACCCCGACCACCCTGAGTGCTAGGTAGTAGACCTGCCACCAAGCCTGCTTTATGCGGTTCTGGGAATGCAGGGTGGCAATTCATGTGCCGCCGCATCTCAGCCTCCTTCAGCGAGAGCAGCCAGCTCATACATTTCTGCTTCTTTTGTTTGATTTTTTGTTTTGTTTTGTTTGTTTTTTGAGACAGGGTTTCTCTGTGGCATTGAAGCCTGTCCTGGAACTTGATCTGTAGACCAGGCTGGCCTTGAACTCACAGAGTTTCATCTGCTCCTGCCTCCCCAAATGCTGGGATCAAAGGTGTACACCACCACCACCCAACTCTCTGCTTCGTTTTTAAACTGAAAATGTAAGCTTGGCTTAACTTTTAAATGTTGCTATACATTATTTCCTTTCCACAATATAAAGGTAGCATGTATATTTACACGTGCACACACATGCTCACACACACTAGGACTGGGAAATGTGCATTTATGTAGCACCTGCTGTGTGCCATGTACTGTGTAAACCTTTGTCCTTTTGAACTCCCTGTGGATACAAGAGAGGAAGCATATACTTACACCCGGAGAGGCAAAAGACAACTAACTACCCAGAGCCACACAGGCTAGGCCAGGATCAGATGGGCTCCCCATGAAGTCACACCCCCCCCCAAGTCTTCCCAGAAGCCATGGAGACACAGGGTGCAGCGAGGCTGGGGATGATGAGCTGGTTTGTATACCCTGGTCCTAAAAAGAGCTGGCTTTCTTCCCAGAGCCTGAGACTCCACCCTGCCAAAGACCCAACTTCAATCAGGCTCTTCTGGAATTCTCCCTAGGGCAGAAACCTGAGGCCAGGTGGGGTGGAAGCCCTTCTCCTCAGATGACCGTTACCATGGGCACAGCCACTCCAAGGGCTTAGCCACTGGGTGTGATGCCAATCCTCCAGGCAGCTGGCCTGGCAGCCTGTGGGTGTGGCCTAGCCACTGCTGGCCAGGGGCACTTCAGAGATTGCACAGGGAGGGAGAGGCCATTTAGACTTGTTAACAGGGGTCCCTGGATGGCCGCTGCTGTGGATGAAGGTCTCTGGGCTGTGAATGAGTGTCTGAAGCAAGGGACTATGGTGGTGTTATTTGGAGACCACAAGTATTCTGGGCTTGCTTTGAATTTGCTTTGTAGCTGAGGGTGACCTTGAACTTCTGATCCTCTTGCTACCATCTCCTGAGTCTAGGATAAAAAGCGTGTGCCAGCCACCACACCCAGTCTATGTGATGCTGGGGCTTTTCCTGGCTTTGCCAAGTGCTCTAACAACTGGGCTATAGTTCTAGACTCAGGACCATGACCCTATCATGTCTGTCCACAAAGGCAGGTAATACAGGTACCCTTGTCTGTACCAGCAGGAAAGAGACAGGTGTGTATTAGGACAGGAAAGGGCACAGCTGTTTTCTGGAGCCCATAACAGGGCCTCCTTGAGCACCTGGAGAACAGCTGCTTACAGTATAAACTTGTCACTGTCTTCTCAGGAACTACAGGGCAGTTCCCTGTTCTTAGGACAGAAACCAAACCCTCCTGCCTAAGCTCAGCACCTAAAGGCAGCACCTTTCCTGACTGTCTGCCTCTGGCTACCCTGGCCTGTTTGCCCCCACTCTTGTCTGGGGCATGGCTCAGTGGTAGAACTTGCCTGACCAGGAAAGACAGAATGCTCCCCATCTGCTCTTTCTGACTCCCTGGCTTGTGCATCAGCTACTACCCGCCTCGCTTCATAGCCCAGTCAGATTTCAGAGAGCTCGCCAATCCCCAGTTTGAATCAGGACTTCACAGATATTCTCATGACACTACCCTCTCTGCCACCCTGCCTAGCTGACTCTCCTCCTCTGCTCTGTGCCTGAAGGCAGGCACCTATGTGCCTTATTGCAGGATTCGCTGAGCCTATGTCAGGGTCTCACACACAGTGCTCAATAAACAGGAGCTGAAGGACTCGGCCCTCTAGGCAGTGACCTCAGACCAAGGAATGATGGACAGTCCATCAGAGCCGCGATTGGCAGCCTTCCCCAGAGCTCAAGACTGCACTGAGCCCCTGCCCTGCATGCGTGGTCCCATCCCAGGCCAAGGACAGAGGACCGATATCACTGCATAGATAGGACAAGCCCAAGGATGGTCTTAGGGCTTAGGTGTCCATTGCAGATTAACAGAACTGGGGAGCCAGAGCTCTGAAACATTTAACCCCACCCTTACCCCCCCCAGTTAAAGATGATAAAACAGAGGTCCCAGAGTCACACAACACACTGGGGGGGGGAGAAGTAGCAGCCAGACTATAAGACATGTTCTAGACTGTTTGTTTGTTTTGAGATAGAGTCTCACTATACAGGCCTGGCTGTCCTGGAACTCACTCTGTAGACCAGGCTGGCCTCAAACTCAGAGATCAGCCTGCGTCTACCTACCAAGTGCTGGGATTAAAGGCGTGCGCCACCACACGGGACTGCTGGGCTGTTCTCTGTTCTTTATCGATGTGTTGCCCGATGTGCGGCACTGGACTTGCATCCTAGAACTGAAACTTTGACTGACAGTCAAAATTTCCCAGGACTCTTCCAGCCAGAACGCGGAGGCCGGCTGGCCCACTATGGGCGTGGCCACCTGCCACAGGGAGGAGGGGCTGGAAGGCCCCGCCCCTGGGTCGCCAGCAGCAGCGCGTATCGACAGCGCCACCTACCCGTATCCTCGGGAACTGCACGCACGTTTCCATGGCCGAGCTAGGACCTGTAGGTACTGGAGCAGCGCGGGTCGGGGGGTGGTGTCGCACCAGGAGCTCTACACTCGGTCACAGCCCACACGCCCTCCAGTTGGGGGTGCAGTCTTAACACTCGCCAAGCAGCTCCAAACCGTTGTAGATGCTGAGGTACGATTTAAACTCAAGCCTGGTAAGACCTAGGAAACTGAGCCCAAACAGCGTTGGTCTGTCGTCGGTGTTGGTTTCTAGGAAGCTCAAGCTCCGAAAGCAATCATAGCGTGGGAAGAACAGCGGCGTTCTGAGTCTGAGCGATATTAGAACACATCACAAAGTAGGAGACAGTTAAAGACTTGGTCCAGGCTTCTATCCCTTATCCATATCTAAGACAACCTTCCAAATTGGGTTATCTGGAGGCTCCAGCTTGGTGGGGTGATCCGTAATTTCCAGGGTGAAGCCCCAATACCATAGTAACAGCATGCGTTCCACACATCTGAGCCCACTCAAGGTCACGACACCGTGTGTGTGTGTGTGTGTGTGTGTGTGTGTTTATGTGGTGTGTGTGTGGTGTGTCCTGGAGTGCCCTCTTCCTGACCACACCCTTTCTTGCAAGCTCTGATTCCTCAAGGTGCACCCTGGGGTGTGGATCTCGCCCAAAGCCCCAACTCCCTGACTCCCTCCGGGACTGGCCCACCTTCACACTAGGTCTATCCAGTCTGGTCAAGGGAAGCATTTCCATCTTGTGTCACCATTGTACCAGAGAGATGGTCAGCATTTGGTCAGAGGGCTGGGCAGGAACCAAGCCAAGGGATGGTCCTTTTTCAACCCCTTATTAAGAATGATTCTTCCCCGCCCCTTGCTCAGCAGTTTTGCTATGTAGCCCAGGCTGGCCTGGAATCACAGCCCTCCAGCCTTAGCTTCTGAAGAGCTGGAATTACAACCACATGCCACCACGTCTGGCTCCTGGTGTTTCAAAAGGAGACACATATGTGACTTTTCTGTGAAATATAACTCAGTTATATTCTTAAAATCGGAGGCCAGAAACCAAGTCCTTGCAGGGTTTGGCTTAAGGGTCCCTGCTCTAGCCCGCTTTCTGTGGCTGTGGCCAAAACCTCAGACCAAAGGCATTTCGGGGGATAAAGAAATCATTTGGCTCACAGGGCAGGCATGGTCCATGGTCCGTCATGGAGTGAAGTCAAGGCAGGAGGAGCCTGGAGATGAGACCACAGAGCGACAATGCTTACTCTTCCTTATACCGCACAGTCTCCTGCCTGCGGGCGGGCGGGTGGGCAGGAGCATCCAGGTGGGCTGGGCCCTGCTGGTCAATTAGCAGTCACAAAAGTGCACCTCAGCTGGTCCCACAGGCCCATCAGGAGGAGGCCATTCCTCAGCTGGGGAAGCCATTCCTCAGCTGGGCCAAGTTAATGGCTATGACATTGCCCAACTGTAACATCCCACACAGAAAAAAAACATTCAGATATGACTTCAAAATAGATTTATTTAATAAGGATTATTTAATTTCGGCATAAAAATCACCAATTGTCCCTCATTGGGTTTTTCTCTCCTTTAACACACATCGGGGTTTGTTTACCCCAATACTTTAAAAAATATAGCTCTTCTTAGCGCCAGAAGGACACTTAAGGCAGCAAGGCAGTTTTTCCTTGGGTCTCCAGAGCTGGCGGGCTCCAGTGACAGGCAGTGTCTTAGGTAGGAAAAGCCATCCCTGAAGAAAGCTATTATGCAGTGGGATGAAAATTCGGTCACAAATGGTCACCTGTGTGTGCCTAGTCATTTGTTTGAAAAGGCTTGCTGGTACATTTCGACTTAAAAACGAACAAAAAACAAAAAACCCTGTCTGACAAAAGACAGAGAGAGAGACAGAGACAGAGAGAGACAGAGACAGAGAGAGAGAGACAGACAGAGAGAGAGACAGACAGACAGAGAGAGAGAGAGAGGGAGAGAGAGAGAGAGAGAGAGAGAGAGAGAGAGAGAGAGGGGACAGGGCAGGCAATGCTAGGTGTGTAAGCCATGTCCATGTGAGAGCTCCCGACAGCTTGCTTTTTCAACAGATGCCACAGTAGGGACCCTGCTGACTTCCAATCAGACGGCTTTGTTCTCCTAACATCTAAGACATCCTTGGGCCAGACGGACCAGGTTTCTTTACTGGGTGAGGTGTAGGCCTCCCCCTAGCTGGGTAGGGGAGGAAGAGACAGAAAACCCTAGGAATTGATCGTTAGCAACGTTAATTGGTTTTGACCACTCTGGGGGGGAAGGTAAAGCCCCGCCTGGGCTTCTGGGAAAGCAGGGGAGTGAGCAGGTGTTCACTGTTCCATTAGAATAGGAAAACAAAACAAAGCGAAGACAATGGCCTCTAACAAGCTGATGCTGTCCCCTGCAGACCCAGGCGGCTGCAGACCCTGGCGGCTGAGCTGGGGAACCCCAGCCTGATTCACAGTGATTCAGGGTTGCTTGCTCCGACGCGGGGCTGTGTGTCCGGGCGCCTACACTGTGTAGTCGAGCTCCGCGTTCATCTTGGTGTACAAGTCATAGATGGCGTCGATGGTGGCTGTGTAGTTGACCAGGAAGAGCCGGATCTTCTCCAGGCACTCCTCCTCCGTCACGTTCTGCCCCTTGGAGAGCGCCTTCAGGAAGTCAGACTTGTAGGGCGCGGCGTACAGCGCTGCCTTGAGAGGGAAGAGAGAAGGCAGGAGCAGCTTTAGCCCGGCGAAGCCTGAGTCCCTGACACCTGTGCTGGGCGGGTCTCTCTGCCCATGTTGGAAGGGAAAAGAAAAGTGAGCGTCCCTTTTCCTTTGTAAGGGACCCTGGTTTATGCGGTGAGGGGGTCACACAGGGCTTTGGGGCCCTGAACCTAAGACTCTGTACACTCTCTGCAGATGACCCCTTCCTTTCCCCAGAGGTGTGAGAGGTGGGGCCACTGAGCTCAGGGAGGCAGGCTCCCAGGTGCCCACTTTTGTTTCTGAGATGGGAATCTGACTATGTTGCCCAGGTAGGCCCAGGCTGAGCCATGGGACCTTGAGACCATCACAGGGCAGAGTGTGAAACAGCGCCCACTAGCGGTGCACTTGCAGGCAGCTGGGAGTGGATACTGTCAGGCCCCAGGGGTGTTTGCAGGGACTCTGCAGGGAGAGTGGGCTGCCCAAGATGACCCGTGGCCTCAGGCCATGTCCAGGTTGAAGGCCCCGAGGTGGCCACACTTCCTGCCTGGACCCTTTCTGTCAGAGCCTGGGCTTCCTGGGGAAGGATGGTAGTCTGACGAGGACATCCTGAGGGGCAGGGTAGCCGGGGACATTTGGGGGGCCTTTTGCTATTCCTTAAGCCTCCCAGCCTGATGAACCTGGGTACCCAGGCTGGCACAAGAGCCCTTTCCAGGAGCTGTGGCCAGTGTCACCCCAAGAGAGGACACAGTACACCGAGGGCCAGAATGTCTGCCTTAGCATCTCCTTGGGGGCTGGGCTCTTCTTCCCCTCTGCCTGGGGTGAGGGGCCCCCGGTGACACTAAGGAGCGCCTGCAGCCACACACAAGGTTGGCTGTGGTTGGATGAGGGCCTCTGCACCAGCCCCAACCCACAGTCCTGCTGGGACCTCCCTGGAGTAAGCAGGGCAGTGGGCAGGGCCCAAGTCTCCCTGCCCCTGGGGCTCACCTTGAAGATTTTCTGCACTAGCCAGCCGTGGTATTTCTTTAGGGCCATCTCATAGGCCTTGTTGGCGTTTACACGGATGAGGTTGGGGTGGTTCTCATCCCGCTCCCCGTCACAGATGCTCTGCAGGAACACCTGGATGAAGCGCAGGCCCCTGTGGCCCAAGGGCACAATCATTTAGGACCGGGGCCCATAGCAGTGCCTCGTTCTGCACACGGGACCCCGCATCCACAGCCAGGTGCCCTTCCAGCCGCTCACCAGCCTCCTGCCTTCTCTGCCCCTCACAGAACCTGACTGCTCCCTTCCTGCAGGCAGGGGGCTGGGGGTGTCCAGGCCAGGGCATCTGGAACAGGGCACTGAGAACAGGCCTCCGTCCCAGCTTGTCCTGTCTGGAAGCTTCATATGGCAGGTGCCTGCCATACTCCATCTGTGCTGGGTTCCACAGCCAGCACCGCCTTCCTAGTCACCCACAGGTCCACAGGTGACTTAGACATGAGCAGCGGCATCACCTGCCTGGGCAAATGAGCTACAGGATGTCCTTCAGTAAGGCCTGCTGACAAGGTTGGGCAGTGTGCCTGGGCAGCTCCCAGGGCAGCCATTCCCTGACCACTACCCGGGCCCTGGAAAGCCGACTTCCCCAGTCCAGTTCACCACAGAAACAAGTGTTGGGGGCTGGGAGATGGGCTTCAGGGGACAAGGTGTCTTCCTGGGTCCTGGCCCAGACCCCTGAGGGCGGGGCAAGGTTCCTGCTTTCTTAGCAGCTGCTGGAAACCCACAGCTAGGGAATTCTGGAGCTACTAGACCACTGAAAAAACTCAAGGCACCTGTGCAAACCCAAGAGCATCCCTACAGGGGTTGGAGGCTGTCCTGGAACTCACTCTGTAGACCAGGCTGGCCTGGAACTCACTGAGATCCACCTGCCTCTGCCTCCTGAGTGCTGGGAATAAAGGCGTGCGCCACCGACGCCCGGCTTCCTACTGTATTTCTATCCAGGGTCATAGCACACAAATCCACTGTGCACGACCTGCCTGCCCCTGTGCAGCACGCCACCTGCCCCACTGCTCAGGCGACCCGGACTGTGACTGGGCCTCCAGATGTCCCTGCAGCCTCCTCCTGAGATGGAGAGGGGCCACAGCTGACTCACAGTGTATGAGACTCTATCAGGTGCACAAAGAACAGAGGCAGAGACTACGGCTGGAAAATGCAGTTCCCCTGCCTTCTCTGGGGCTAGAACAAGGACGCACCCTCACAAATGTCAGTCTTGGGAAGTTTCTTGTAGCTATTAAACGGTAGCGTTGGCGTGCCCTGCCCAGCATGGCCCAGCCACGACCCACCCCCTAGCCCATCACCTTTTGAGCCACAGAAGTGCCAGCGTGGCTCCCACTTTGGGCCACTCTGCTCCGTACATCCCCTTCTCCACTTCCAGGATGTTCTGCAGGGTCCTGTACTTGGCTGGGTCAGTGTCGTACACAGCTTTGATTTTCTGGAATACAGCACAGGTGCCCTCCCATCACACACTGTCCCGCAGTCAGCTTCCGTGCGTGCGCTGAGCAGAGTGTCCCATCCCATGGGCTCTGCCACCCGCCTGCCCGGGGAAGATGGGCTCCTGAAATGCTTCAAGTGCCACCCCCAGAACCCAGTCAATGGACTGGGACCCCGAGGCTCAGGGGCGCTGTGTCAAAGGCCACAGGTTTGGGACAGGGAGTGGGCCCTAGCCTGCTGGCTCCAGAAGCCCCGTCTTCCCGCTGCTATTACAGTCACAGGCAGAGACCCCAAGTCCCGCGGTGAATGGGCGCAGGAGAAAGGGTCCAAAGCTATGCAGACAAAACAGCCCCTGAACTGGCACACGCCGGATCAGTCTGTTGAGACCGGCTGAATCTGGATCCCACCGGTCAGGCTCTTGCTGTGTGACCTCAAATGAGTCAGCAGCCACTCTGAGCTTCAAGCTCCTCATCTGTGTGAAGGCAGTAACTCTACAGAAGGACCAGGCTCAAAGTTCCCTGGCTTGGAGAAGTGAAACCACATAGCAGATCCCAAGCCCCACCCTGCCCTCAGTGTGCCTCTCTGCGGAAGTACCCAGCTTGGAAGAGCCAAGATGGTGCCACCACGAACTTGATTTCTTGTTCTTTTCTTGGGATGGGATGCTTGATGGATGAGATAGCCTAGGCTAGCATGGAACCTCAGGCCTCAGCCTGAGTGCTGGGATCACAGGACTGCATGCATGATGATGCTTAGCTGGACGTGTGTGAACACATGTCTGTATGAACAGGTGTGTGTATGTGTGTGTGAACAGGTGTGTGTCTGTGAGTGTGTGCGCGTGCGTGCGTGCGTGCGTGTGAGTGTGTGTGCGCGTGCATGTGTACACATGTGAATGCCAGTGGAGGCCAGAAGAGGGCACTAGATCTCTGCTAAGGGAGTTACAGGCACTCAAGAGTTGCCCAGTGTGGGTGCTGGGATGGAACTCCAGGCCTCTGAAAGAGCAGCAAGCACCCTTGGCCACTGAGCAACCTCAGCAGCCTTCCCCCTTATGTTCTAGGACATGGCTTCTCGCTGGCTGGGTGATGGGCAGCAGGGCCCACCTCTCTCCACCCTCCAGCACTGGGTAACCCTTGTGCTGCCGGTGACGCTTTTCAATAGGTTTCAGGGTCCCAGCTCAGGCCTGCATGCTTGTAAAACCGAGCCATTTCCCCATGTCCGGAGATCTTGTTTGGTGGGGGGTGGCAGAGAATCTGGCCAACCCTGAATTGTGTGCTTGCAAGGGGGCATTGAGAACCCCTGGCTCTTCAGGGGAGGGGCTAGGGTTACAATCATCCGCCTTCTTCCCCGACCCCAGGTGGGAACCAGGCTGGGGTGGGTTCAGACCCTGGTGATGTACTTACCGTGATATTCCCACTTATGTCCGCCTTAATGGGCGTGAACACCGGGGACCCAAGGCAATCTGTGAACAGAAGAAGAAGAGAGATTTAGACTCCCAGCCATGAAGGCGTTCAAACCATCACAGGCCGTGGACGACCGCCACCTGTGTGTTTAGGAGCCAGGAAGAATCATTTGCAGGTGTTTGGAAAGTCCCGTGGTCAAGTGAATTCAGGAGTGCTGGGCTCTGGATGAGAGCAGGTTGTCATCTCCAGAACTGACCAGAGCCTCTGAGGGCTGCTGGAGTTCTCTCCTCATCACAGCACCATCCAAGAAAACTCTACAGGGGTGGAAACGCCCCCCCCCCGCCCCCCTGCACTGTCCAGCTGGTAACCACATGCCCTCACACCGCCAGGGGCGGCTTGGACACTGCCTTTCATCTGAGCTTCAAGTTTCCCATCTAGTGACCAGGACAGTGTGTGTGACGAGCAGCAACAGACACCCATTCTGTTCACCCTGGAGCACAGTGTTTCCATGCGGAGGTGGGAAGCTTTTTTGGCAGGTCCCAGTACAAGCAGGGACACCTTGGAGCAGAGGGCCCACAGATCAGGAGACACCTGGCCATGTGTGCTTCGAACCCAGGCTCCACATGGGATGAGAACCACGCTCCTGCCTCTTGGCAAGCCATCACCACAGCGGGAATATCACGCCGGCCAAAGCTGCTCCCATAGGAGGGACACAGCCTTCGGCGTCACTCTCGGGACCTGGCAAGGCTGCCTTGCTCTCCTGACACCTTCTTCCTGCTGGGAAGTGGGATACTATGGAAAGTCAGAAGTAGGGGCTGAACCCACAGACGGGAGATGGAGCTGCCCGGAGGCAGACAAGGGCTTAAGGACTTCCGGAATGACCACAGGGGAAGAACTTGTACAGGTCAAATCCCACTGAAAGTGACCAGCACTCAGCGCTGGCCATCCAGAAAGCTCCTTCACTGCCGACTTGAAGAGGTGTGCGGGAGCTCCTGTGGTGACGTCCCACACACAGTGGGACAATGGACGAGGAACCAGCCGGGCGATAGTGACACTGGCCCGACATCCCCTGAGACGAGTCTCCCAGACCGCATGCCTGTTTCCGCCCACGAGAGTCGGGGCACAGAAATCAGGGCTCAAGGCTGTACCAGCCAGGCCTGTGCCGTGCACCTGTAACACCCGCACTTAGGAGGCAGAGGCAGGGAACACCGAGAGTTTGAGGCCAGCCTGGGCTACAAAGCAGAATCTCTGGAAAGAAAAGAAATAATGATGTATCTGGGCTGGGGCGTCATCACCAAAAAACTAAATTAAGGGCCAGAGAGATGGCTCAGTGGCGACCAGAGTTCAACCCCTGGGACCCACATGGAAGGAGAACAGATCCCCACAAGTTGTCCTTTGACCCTACTCAGGTGCCATGGCACGCGCGTGTGCGCGCACACACACACACGCACACACACGCTCACACACACGTGCACACACACACACACACAAATAAATGCAAAACTCAAAAGAAAATACAAAAGAAAATACTTGGAACCTACTTAGCAGGGTGCCCAGCATGGGGCAAAGGCTGGGAAAGGGGCTTTGATCATTCTGTGACTTCCTAGTTCTAGGGTCCGGCTTCGAGACCTATCTCCCAGAACCTCTGCAGAGTGCAAACCCTGCTACACCCCACGTTTCTCTTTCTTCCTGAGATTGTGTCGTGTAGCCCATGGTCCTCCTGCCTCAGCCTCCAAACGCTGGCTGACAGGTGTGTACCACCACATCCATCCCACTGAAGTCCCTCAGGGAGGGACTGCCCTGGTAGCACGGGCACCCTAACCCTGGCTGGGCACCGTGAGGTGAGTGAGTGGCCTCTCCTTGCCTCTCGCCGAAGCCGGTGCCCACTTACTGGGCACGAATCCAGCTCCAGGGATTCCCTGGTCTCCACCCCCCACCCCATACAGACAGCCCAGGTGCTGTTTTGCTCCCTTGGGTACCAGGTGTCCAAACTCAGCCTCGCGATGGCACAGCAGGCACTTTACCAACCACGCCGGCCCCTCCCCCTTTGTCTACCCACCCTCCCCCGCCCAAGACGGCGGAGGGTCTGTGAAGCAACTTTGCTTCAGTTTTGCGCTCTGTGAAGTGAGACTGGGATCCCACGCGGGCTGGGCTGATGCGATGGGAGATGCAGGCTGTGTACATGGCAGGTGTTGCGATCACCAGCCACAGCCTTCGAAGGGAGATGCCGGGAAGCCGGGCTCCGCAGGCTAATATAGGACACGGCTGCGGGCTGTGGTATGGGGCTGAGCACCGCCCTGGTGGCGGCAGAAGGGGCTTATTGTTTGCCATTCTCCTGACAGCCGAGGGTCACAGAGCCGCTGTGGTGAGTGGGCACTGTCCCCACAGCAGTGCTCATTGTGTGTGCCGCCAGTGGCTGCTGCCAGGGCCAAGGCACCCACTCTGCTGTGGGGGGAAGGGTGTGGTGGGTGGAGGCAGATGCTGAGGCAGGGATTGCAGGCTTCATTAAGAAAGAGAGTGGGCCTGGCCTGTCACCCCAGCATGCTGGGCCCTGATGCAGCAGAGTCATGAGTTCGAGGCTAGCTTGGGGGCTACACAGTAAGAGCCTATCTCAGAAAGAAAAAGATGAGGGTGCTGGTGGGAGGTTCCCCACCCTTCCCCACCCTTCCCCACCCCCGTGGATGGGCAGGAAAGGCCCCTGGGGATGTGGGTGGTTTGGCTGGGCAGCTGTGGGGAAGCTGCCTGTCACGTGGGTGTGAATTGTGACTTAAGAACTCTGAGTGTGAACCCTTCACTTTCCTGCAGCCCAGAGATGCTGCGCAGAGAGAGCTCCAAGGACAGAGGGCTGAGGAGGGGTCTGCTTCCCGTGGCTTACATGGGGGCCACAGCAGAGAAGCCAAAGCATCCCACTGACCCGCCTTAGCTTTCTTGAAAGCGCCTGTTGGTGTGAGCTCAGGGGCAGGACCCCCTAAAGCAAGGCTGAGTCCCCACGCTCATGGTGGCCTTTCTAATAGTTGAACCTGTGCTGGTCCCCACCCAGTTACCTGTTCCCACAGCCTGTCAGCCTAACCGCTCCCCCAGAATGCAGCGGGCCCACAAAGCACCTTTCTTGTTTGGCTGGTTTTGCAGTTCCCTCAAACTTGTTTGGCCTCCTTTAACTGTGCTCAGCCAGCCTGGAGGCAGTGGGCGCTTGGATGGTTTTCCAGTTTGTCCTGTAACCCACAGAAGGAAGGGAGCCGCCGCCTTTGACAACAGGAAGGCCCACAGTGGCACGGCCTCCTGCCGCCACACAACCAGCCCCAACAGGCAGGCTGCACGGGGGAGCTGTGGTTTTTTAGAACCGTGTGAAAGGCCTCTTATGACTAATAAAAGGATTTTCCCCCTCAACCCAGAAGGATAAGAAAAGGTCAATAAATCTTATTACAAAGCCCAAGGCCATCAATAAACTGGGGCAGGAAGTGGAGAAAATCAGTAAAGGCTATTTACTATCCCAAATATGTAAAGAGTATTTACGGAACAATAAGGAAAAAAAGTAACTCGTGTTGAAGAAGAAAAGACGCCTGAAATGCAGACGTCTCCATTAACTAAGTGATTTTATGAATACATCAGCCACTGGCTTCGCCATTCTGGATAGTATTTATTAAGACGTAGCAAAGGGGTTGCAGAGACGGTCTAACAGCACTCACTGCCCTCCCCAGGGCAACTGAATTCAGTTCCCAGCACCCTGTCGAGTGGTGTCAACCTCCTCTAACTCCGGGATCGGGGGTCTGACTTCCTCTGTGGGTACCCACACAGACACATATGCACAAATGGAATACTGGACGTTCATTCATTCCTCTTTCATAGAGCAAGTCATTTGTGGCCTTCTAAATAGGGTCATCATAAAGAATATAAAAGGGTGTCCTGGTGATGTTACAGGTTCCCTCAAACCTTCATCACAGGGCGCTGCTATATTGAATGTTTTCCGTCTTTTCAAAAGCACCTCCGGGCAAAACAGCAAACTGTCAAAACTACCCGAAAAAAACAAGAGGAAATGGGAACTAGGAGGGGAATTCATGTGTGCCTTCTGGGACAACTGTGTCTGGACTGGGGCCACCTAGGGCCTCCTGCCTGGGTCTCTACCACTGCCCAGATGAATGACATTGCCCAGAATTGTCTGTCCACCAGCCAGCTTGTCACTACATGCCACCCAGAAACACTCATTCCTCCTTCAGCACAGCTGAACACAGGTCACTGTATTCAGCTCAGCTGGGGTGTGGCTGGGTGTCATGGACAGTGCTTGCCAAGCATGTGCAAGCGTGTGCAAGGCCCTGGGTTCGATGTGGTGGTGCGTGCCCATAGCCTTGGCACTTGGGAGGTTGAGACAGGAAAGTCAGTTTGGGGACTGACTGGGTAACTTAGTAACTGACGGAGTGCCCCCTACAATCTCTCCCCAGAAAGGATCACGGCCCACATCTGGAAATTTCCATCCTAGACTGCAAATGTCTTCACTGGTTTCTCTGTTTGCGTGTACATTCATAAGGGTGCAACAGGTCATCCACAAGGGTCTCTCATTGGCTTGTGGCTTGTTAAGTGAGCTAGACTGGCCAGCCAGTGAGCTCCAGGAAGCTACCTGTCCCAAAAACTTAGTGACGGGATTGTAAATGTGCTCCACCACACCTGAGTTTTTACATGGGTTCTGGGAATTAAATTAAATTCTTCCCATGCCCTGTCTTCTCTCTGTCTGTCTGTCTGTCTCTCTCTCTTAGAGATAAGATTTTTAGGTATGCAGGCTAGCCTTGAACTTACTTTGTAGCTGAAAATGACCCTGAACTCCTAAGCCTCTAGCCTCTACTTCCCAGGTGCTAGAATTACATACAGGCCTGCAGCTTTATCTATAACAACAAAGGGTGTTCCCATTGTCCCAATTTGGAGCAACAAAGTAAGAGATTAGCCATGTCCTGAGCTCATCCACCCACACACACATGACTGAACATGTGCCAGTGGGTACACACACACACACACACACACACACACACACACAAACACACACACTTCCTCTCAGAAATCATTTTGATTT